AAATATTATTAAACAAATATTATTTAAATATTAAATATTTTTTAAATTGTTTAAAAACTGTAAATTATTTTTTAAAAAAATTAACAATTTAATAAAAATAGAAAAAAATAAATTAAAAAGCTGCTTGGAATTTGGCTCCCTAGGAACTGAATTCCGGCAGCCAAATGTCTCCTCCGGTGACATTATTGCAAGTCAAAATTTGGATCCCCGGAGACCGAATTTCTGCACAGTGAAGAGTTATAGTTCTGTAAATATAATTCAGGGAGTCCATTTCTATATATATATTTTAAAAAATTATATTCCAGAAAAAAAATCGTATTTTACCTATCATTTATATATATATATATATATATATATATAAATTAGGAAAAAATAAATATTAAAAAAATATTTTTTATTTGAGGATTTATTAAGAAAATAAAAAATATTTAAAGGTGGAGAAGATATAATTGGTGTTTTATATTTATTACTAATTTATTTTATGTTAAAATAATAGTTATTCTATTTTTTTTTTTCTTCATTAATTTACCGATTAGTATTAATTATTGATGTTTTAAGGTTTTATTTTTATTTTTTAAAGAACTAATGTTTTTTTTTCTTGATTATACTTTTATTTAATACTACCTTCCCTTTTATATTAGGTAGTTTGATGAAAAATATTTTATTCATATGTCATTTTAAATTTTAAGATAAGATTAATTAGTATTTTATTTAATTATATTTTTACTTCTTACTTAATTTTTAATTAATTAATATATTTATAATGAAAATGAAAAGAATTGATATGCATTTATTGTGTAGTTAAAATAAAAAACGTAAAATTGAAATTTTCATAACTAATTTTCAAATTGAATTAGAATCTCAATTTTAACTACCTTAACTAAAAGGCAATGTCATCCCCATCTCCTACAAGATGCACTTATACATGTACATAAAAAGATGACAACATATCTCCTAGTCCAAATAGACTTGGTCGCCCTCAACATAAGGACAAACAATGTAAAGATTAGAGTAAGAGAAAACCAATAACGAACACTTATCCAAGAGTGTCATTATTACCTCCTTCGAGTCGAGGTTGCTCTCAATATATATATACAATAAATATTCTCTACATGTTGCTTGATTACATATAGAAGTGAAAGTATTCTTATGTATAGGATGTCATTTTATTTATATGTATTTTGTCCATATCACTCCTCACCCACTCATAACCTTCTCTATCCAACGAACCACTGTACATGTTATCAGGATAAGATCAGTTTGTTTAGAGTTTGTTACTTTTATATTCAAATTTGTTGTTGTTTTGCGTTTCGGTTGTAACGATGACTATTATATATATGATCCTTAACTCATCAATAAAATCAAGCTGCTGATTGAAAGCATCTTCTTACATGGTATCAGGAGAGTAACGATTCCAAACCTTTTTTTTTCACCATGTCTTCCGCACCAATATCAGTCAAAGTCACTAATCCTAAATCACCATTTTATCTCCATCCTTCAGATAATCCTGGAGTTATTCTCACTACGGTCCTCCTTCGTGGCCAATCTAACTATGATAATTGGGAAAAGCTTATGAAAAATGCCTTAAAAGCCAAAAATAAACTTGGTTTCATCAATGGATCAATTGTGATTCCTGATGATAATGATTTTGACGAAGCTTACGCTTGGATTCTATGAAATTCCATGATTAATAGTTGGATCCATAACACCATCGATCCACAATTGCAACCTCTCATCAACTATTTTGAAACAGCCAAAAGTCTTTGGGATGATCTCCGAGAACGATTTGCCTTGCTCAACATTCCTCGTATATTTCATCTCAAGGCCAATCTTTCCACTATGAAGCAACATGGCTCATCCGTTATGGACTATTACACCAAGCTTCGTTCAATATGGGATGAACTTGAGTCCACTCGTCCTTTAGATGCTTGCACTGCTGGAGACACTTGTGCTTTCACCAAATCCATCCGTCTTGAAGCAGAAAATGATCGCGTCTACCAATTTCTCATGGGCCTTGATCACACCATTTACGGTAGTCTCATTACTCAGATTCTCAACACGACACCTTTGCCCACCATCAACCGTGTTTTCTCTATGGTTACTCAAGAAGAGACACATAAAGCCATTGCTCGTTCTCATGATGCTCCTACTAACGCGTTGGGCTGTGCAGTTTCGAGTGCTGTTTCCAAGGATCATGGTGATACTTCTAAGCCTAAGGTTACATATATGTATTGTCACAAACCCTACCATGATGTGTCCAAGTGCTATCAGCTAATTGGCTATCCCGAACGTCCCAACACTAGACGTGGCCGAGGACGTGGACGCTCTTCACACAGTACACAATCTGCGCATGCTCGTGTTGCCCACACTACTAACACACATGCCACTCCATCTTCCACTGCATCATCTTTGGGATCTCTTAATATTGCAGATTTTACTCCTGAAATTCTTCAACACCTCATGTCGTTGGTTGTCCCCTCTACACCTTC